TATTCAGCCACTCCACACAAGGTGAAAAGGCTCTAAAACTTTGTAAGGGTTGCAAAATTAATTAATGCATAAATTTTGTTTGTTTGGTATACAAACAACCCTGGTGGGGACCTTCTTCCCCGAGGAGTGGTAAGAAAAGCGGGGAGAAAGGCATTGAGTGGCTGGAGACTGTGGAGTCAACAACGGTGAGCCTATTCCTTATTTTTGTAAATTCCTGGGACGTTTCCTTTTGGGAGTGTGTCCGCTCCTCGTTCAATTAAGTGTATTTGCAAATAGTATTTGTATTGAATTTATCTAAGTTGAAATTGTGTTGTTTTTCCGTAAAGAGGAATTTTTTATTTTTTTTAACAAAGACATAATTTTGGTTTGTTTCTTACACGGCATTTATTGTAAATATAGCTTGTTTTATCTGATTTCATAAGGCCACATTATATTTTGTACTTTACGTGTGTTTGATATTTCTTTTCCCAGTTCTTTTTTCCTTTCGGAAATTCTCAGAATTGTTTGGTCGAGGACCAACGGGTTCATCAACAACTGATGCATACCCACGCATTTGAACTTACAATTAGCCTAACCTTAATTTGGCCATAGAAATAATAAATGATTGAGTGGGTGTGGAGTTCAATCCTTTTCAAAAAGATAGTTCCTATTCACAGTAAGTTATTTTGCAACGATCCTGATTTTGAGCCCTTTAGCTCATTATCGGGTTGAAGGACTTCTACAACTACTTCTCTCGACATGAATTGCAAAAGTGAACGCTCTGATACACCCGCCAACGCGACGTTCCAATTAGCAGCTGGTTTATTTAATAGCGTTCAATTTGAACGCGCGAAAAGCGGAAATTATAACACAAATAAATATTATAATAGTAAATACTGTAAGAAATTAGTTATAAATTAGCGATTAAAGATAAAAGATAGAAAATTAGAATGATACCTTAATATTATTAAATTATTATAAAAATAATTTGGTCATTTTCATGGTATTCGATCTTCCCCCACAGACTAACCCACGCATCCACAAACTCTCGCATTTATAAATACGTTCACACAAAGGACAACCTATCATACCATATGTACAGCTAAAAATGTGCCTGCCACTGGATATTAATATTAAGCCCGTGCCTTCCCTCCTTTCACTCTAAAAACATTTAAGCTAAAGCTTTACCTAGTTCTGGAGGTCTGTGGGGTCGATATGTCACCACAAACCCACTTACACATACTAAAATTTTCATGCTAATAAATACATTCAATCAAGAGCACAAGACAATCACATAACTAAATTAATTTTAATAATTTGACAAGTAAACATAGTAACAATAAACAAAGTAAACAATAACACAACTTGAAAAGAAACCATTTTAATTTATAAATAATTTGCTATACGTCATGCGACCATTTTCACATGAATACCATATTCCTTGAAATACACTGAGAGAAAAATGTGGTAACCTTCGTTTTTTAATTTTTTTAATGAATGAATTAATTTTTTAGTAAATATTTACAATCGTTATAATGATTATTCGGAAATCGTGAGGTGCGGTCTGGTGTGATGTAGGTTTTAAAATAAAGCGAGTATAGTAGTATAGTGAGAGAGCAAGCTAGAGAAAGAGAAAGAGAGAGAGAGAGAGAGAGAGAGAGAGAGAGAGAGAGAGAGAGGAGAAATAAAAAAGTAAGTTAAACATAAAGGAGAACGATAAAGAGAGTTAAACGGAAAGAGAGTTGGAGCGAGATTGTAATAGAAATAAATATTGAACAGACTGAGTGAGAAATAATACATAAATAGGCAGGGTAATAGTTAATAGATGAAAATATTAAAAGTAAAAAAAAATATTAAGACGAAGCGACAGAATAAATAAATATGTTCATACAAGAAGGTGAAGAGGATAATAGAAGAATAATAAATAAAATATAATCTAGATAATAGATAAGAAAGAAAAGGATAATGATAGAAAAAGAAAGAGAAAAAGGGAAAGAGTGAAAGAGAAAAAGAGAAAGAAAGAAAAAATAGAGATAAACAAGAAATAAAGAATGAGAAAAAGTTTTAATACATCCTCCAAAAATTTCATCATAAAGTTGTTATTTTCCATACCAACCTTATCTGTACACCATCAAATTGAATACCAATTCCATATATAAATATTTTAAATGTAAATCATTATTTTCTTACAACCCACTTTGTTATAATATTGGAATCGGAATAACAATTACCCTGCTTTTGATTCGATTTGCTAATTGAATTTGTTGTATGTTGCCAATCTGAATCACAGACTAAATTAACCGTGATATTTTTCTGTTTACTTAGTTAGAAACAAATCTGCTTAATTTACTACCATTATCATCAACAGACGATATTAGTTCCACATGTTCAATACTCTTTAAATTAAAAATAATTATATTTTATTGTCATATTATTATTATAGATAGGGGATAGGATTGGTAATTATTTGCTATTATTCAGAAATCGTGAGATGCGGTCTGGTGTGATGTAAGTTTTAGAGAAACATTTTCTTTATCGTGCCAACGTTTCGATCTTTATTGAGATCATCTTCAGGGCCTGGGATTTACAAACATTGTTTAAATTTAACAAATGCATGTAGGATGTGGAAATGTGTGAATGCAAAAAGATAATTTTTTTTATATTCAATCAAAGTATTTCTACTCATTCAAAGTGTTTGTTTTCTGTGTAATTGTGCCATTCTTGCGTGTCGTATTGAGAGTGCCAGTAAGATATTGCTGTTTTATGTTCATATATGTTGGATTTTGAAGGGGTGGGGAAGGAAGTCGGTATAGAAAGATATTTTTGTATAAGGAGCGGCTTCTTTGAGGTGAAAAGAAAAATGGGAAAAAACGTTGGTAATAGTTCGGCCACATTATCCTTTCAGGATTATATAGACGGGGATAAATAGGAAATCCTAAATTCCTTTGAGTGAGTAGAAATACTTTGATTGAATATAAAAAAAATATATATTTTGCATTGTATAAATTCACCTTTTTCCACATCCTACATGTATTTATTAAATTAAAACAATGTTTGTAAATCCCAGGCTCTGAAGATGATCTCAATAAAGATCGAAACGTTGGCACGATAAAGAAAATGTTTTTCTAACACCTACATCACACCGGACCGCATATCACGATTTCTGAATAAGCATCGACTAACGGTCACTAATCATCACACAAATCGTTATAATTTTTATTGTTGTTTTCTGGATATTTAAAAAAAAAGATATAGGTAAATAAAAAAATTAAACTGGGGTAAAACAATTTTACCAAAAATTGTTTCTATGGAAACAATGAAAAAATTGATGTATTGGATCTTCTTGAGGTCATTTTACAGGTGAATAAAAAACATCACTATTGGGTTTCACCAAGCTTTCGGCGAATGTTCCGCCATCTTCAGGGCTTTACCCAGTTTTTTAAGACAATTAAATTTTTTTTTTTTTTTTTTTTAAATGAAGGTGGAAATGAATCTACATACTCTTTCATAAGTTAATACTCAATCTCAGGTACATGTATTTCTTTATCACAGATACGTTATATGTATAAAAACTTTTTAACTTAGAATTATAATTTAATTATCTACACTATGTACAAGGAACTTTAAGTAAATTGAGACACATCGGACGGTGTAGATAATTAAATTATAATTCTAAGTTAAAAAACAGTTTAAAAGTTGTGTATACATATAACGTATCTGTGATAAAGAAATACATGTACCTGAGATTGAGTATTAACTTATGAAAGAGAATGTAGATTCATTTCCACCTTCATTTAAAAAACAACAACAAACATGTGCAATAAATTTAATTGTCTTAAAAAACTGGGTAAAGCCCTGAAGATGGCGGAACATTCGCCGAAAGCTTGGTGAAACCCAATAGTGATGTTTTTTATTCACCTGTAAAATGATCTCAAGAAGATCCAATACATCAGTTTAAACTACGGAGGTCGATCAATATCAACTAGAATGAAAAAATGTTCAATTCAGTACGGAGTATTTCCTCCTCTTGGGTTAGTAACTGCTTGCATTCAAATTGCTATAGAGGTTTTGACCATTTATGAGGTTTTGAGTGTAGTGCTGTGGAATATTTTCATACTCCTTCAACCGCGCCATTCTTAACTCCCGCAAATTCTCTGGCATTACTGGCGACATCACCCTCTTTTACAACTCGTCCAAAAGGTGTTCGATATGATTTAAGTCGGGACAACATTCCGGCCACTCTAAAATTTGAATTGAATCCCGTTCCAAGTAGTCAACAGAGATCCTAGTTTTGTCGGGCGTTGCATTATCATAAAAATAAAACCGCGGGGCTGTTAGGTATCCCTCGATGAAGGTATTTTCCCATAGAAGTGCCTGCGCAAACCATATTGAGATTGTCTATTCAAATATTTACTTAAAAATCCAATAGTGAACAGAAATGGGAGATTTTACCTGTGTTTTATTTACAAACGGATTGTTGAACGATAATCAATGGAAGATTGTCTAAGTGATAATTAAAAATATTAAGGGTAGCCACTTTTTTTGCCTCCCAGTGTATAATAATCTTGAAATACACAAATTTTATTTTCTGTGATTCTTATTTATTTAGATAGAAAACGAGGTAAATAAAACCTCGGAATACAAAAACACGTACAAATTGGGTTAAACTTTGGAAATCTAATTAACGATTAACAACGAAGAGACAAACTTGTTGGGGGTGGACAATGGAACTCCTGGAACCTCTTTCTCGCCAGATTTCAAACAGACGACACAGAAATAAAATATTTCCATTTAATTAATGTATCAGATGGAAAGATAATGCCCGCGGAAATTAATCATCATGAACGGGACCAGTTAATTAAGCGTGTGTTTGAAATAATTTAAGCACATCTGCTCAAAACGTGCTCAATTGTTAATTTCACTGAAAAATATTTACAAAAATTGTATTGTGATATTGTCTGTTCAAAATGTTAAGAACAGCTTTTATATTTGCCAATATCAGTTAACAAAACAACATCGACTCATATGTTATTTTAGTTTTTATTATTTGGAGGACGATAGACAATCAAAATCGTGTTTATGTTGTTTGAATCATGTTACTCTATGAACGTTTTCTTTTCTTCTATACCTTCAACTATCTGTTTGTAGATCTCTTGGCCTTCTTTGACTTCTTTGGCGACGGTAGGTTTAATGATTTTCAACAGACCCGCTTCGTAAAAATGCATTTTGCTCGGAAGGTCGTACATGGATTTTATACCAAACTTTCCGAACATGACGGGCAAACCGAAACACGGAATATCGTACGTATCTTTCGTCATGACGAACGCGTTTTCGATAAAGCCGGGCTGCTTAGAACTGATCGTCTTTGCGAGCGAGGAAGCGAATTGACAGACGCCGAACGCCTGCGTCATCGACGAAACGTCTCTGTTCTCCGAAGAAGCGATATCCAGAACTGAAGGCCTTTGGTACTTTTGTGTCAAAAAAATGGACGACTGGGTTGACAGGGTGCTCTTCGCCGTCACGCACGATATCAACGGCACAGAAGTCTTCGGCGTGCAACCCCCGATCACCGGTATCACCTGCATGTTCTTAGTTCTAAGAGAACTTCCCAACGCCAAATCCGCTTTTATCGACAAAAAATTGTTCACCCCGATGACTTTATAATGGAAGTTTCTGTGTGCGGCCTTGAACACTTCGCTCGCCACTGTAAAAGTGGTTGTGAGAGGACCCGTCGACACGCACGTTATAGCGAAAGGTGAATGAGCAACGCAGTTCTTCGAACACTCGTACACGTATTTGCAATTGTTGTAAACCTCATCTCGAGAGAATTTGGATATGTCCGGATGGTACACCTTGCCTCCGACCACTAGGACGATGTTGGCGTCCTTTATCGCAGACTTAATTCCTTCCTTCCCACGGTGGCTGGTGACTTTACCGGGCAAATCGACACTTAGGAGCTGCTCCGCCTGATCTTTCGTATCCATCTCATCGTGTAAGGCGATCTCATCGAATAAATTCGTTCTTTTGAGTAAAAGGGAAAGAGGCTGGCCGATGTTGTTCATCGAGCCGAGAAGAGCCACCTTCAGCCCTTCGACGGCAGTTGCGATCTGTTCGGTTGTATTGTTGTTGGGCTGAACCGAGGTTCCTTTCTTGAAAAAATTTACTAGTGAGTGCATATTTGTGGTCTTTGTGCGTAGTGAAAATTTGTTTCCGAAAATGCGTGGTTTTTAAATAATCATCTGTTGGAAAATATTGCATGTTGTTTTTATAGTTTATTTAATAAAAATTTAGAATAAAGTAAGAATTAAAAAAAATTGTGAGACCAAAAAATAAAAAATGGAGCAGCTTAAGAAATAATTTATCACCAATCTGTTTGTTGCAAGTAGATGCTTTTGGTGCTGCATTTTACCGTGATACTCGGTCAAAAAATATAATCTTGTCGGAACGTTTTTTATGAGGGCATAAGAGCTCAAAATTTAAAAAAAATCCACCTTCTTAGTGCTTGTATTTTTGGCTAATAAAAAATAATAATATACAAATATATTCGGTTTTCCAATCGATGTACAGGGGATAATTTCCACTCTCACCTATGTTTTACTTAAGGAGGTGACGGCCATTATTGAACTAAAAATGTTTTTTTAAATATATTTGTTTAAACATAAACTACAATCTTTTTGCGTAGAATTCAACTGAGCCCACGAGAAACAGCGCATTGTGCTTAAAATAATTTTTTTGAAGGTTACGAATCAAGTGCTCTGGTGCATCTTGCCTAGACAAATTTGCTTCTCGTCATTACGTAAAAAACTACCTTCCAATTAAAAATCGTGGCGTCAGCAGCCAAAACAGTTTAGGCGCTTATCACTCTAAGGTCCCGGGCTCGAATCCGACGTACTTAAAAAAGGGGTTTTTTCTTCAAGAACACCGACATCCCGAGGGTTGACCTCTGTTGTTGAGAACCCTCGTCAAAAATCGCCTTTCTTTTTACTGAAAGAAGAACGTTTTGTGACGATTTTTATGGGGTTGATTGAGCTGCAGCGGGAAAAATCCAAACTTGATCAGAAAATCGCTTTTTCTGAAAATTTTTATTATTCCACTTTCCTATAAGTCTCTTGGTCTGAATGAAGCGGTTATTTTCTCACGACAATTGTGGTTAGCAATCTTTTGAAAAAACTCCCAGGAACAGTGAAATACCTTTTTTTTGTAAAAAAAGAATCAAATTTTGTCAACTTATTGCCAAAAATTACCAATACAAAATTTGTTTTAAACTCTAGCTTTGTAGATGTGTATCTTACTAAGAAATATAAAATAAAAAAGGGTTGGTTATCTATCTATCTAACTTTCTCTCTCTCTCTCTCTCTCTCTCTCTCTATATATATATATATATA